GCTGATTTTTGAACAAATATGTTGAACAGATTAAACTTTGGTAATATCAATCTTATCTCACAATTTCGTGTTTAAATTGGCTCCTCAATTCAATCGGAACATGAATGAATAAATTTCACAAATAGAGAGATGCAGTTTAACTATTAACAGGTAATGGACATGACATCCTAAATCACAATTAAATATGTATATTTGAACGAATTAAGGTTAATTCTGCGTTATTTACTTGTAGCTCTGAAGAATGTTATATTTTCATCGGCTTTTTTACATTCTCGGTTGCCTTTTTTCGCTTAACGTAGTGGCTGTTTTTAAATATTTAATTGGTTCATCATACACACTCTATTTGCTTTTTTATATACTAAATTGGCTGTTTTTAAATACCCATTGTTAATAAAAGCTGTTATCTGTTCTATAGCTTCATTTTGAATACCCATTGTTAATAAAAGCTGTTATCTGTTCTGTAACTTCATTTTGAGCTTGCATAGCACATTTAATTATGTTTTCTGTATAGCATATGTTACTCTTCGGAGCACAGCTCTTATTTGAAACTGCAGCGTTTTAATATCATTTCATTTTTCTCTAGCTGTGTTGTCAAACATTATTTCCTCTTGCAAGCATTTGTGCCTCTCAAGTGCAAATCGACGGAATTTACTGTAACGAGATGTGATTGTCTTACCGAAATGCATAACGTTTGCTTTAACGTCAAGACTTCAATCGGCTGGAATACGGCCTATTCTCATTATAAATTAAGGGCCGATAAATAACGGCCGTGTCTAGAATTTTATACGGCCGCCAATAATGCGGCTAGGGTTTTAAAATCTTTTATTTTTTTACCACGAAGTCGAGAGAACGTCACTCCATAGACCTCATTACGAGCCCGGCGTGGTCTAAGCAAGCCTCAGGCCATAGGTTTTGCAAGTCGACATTTCTGGCCTATGGATGCGGGAGAAACCGTCTGTCTTGCTTACTCACCAAGAAAAATACATAGGTCTTATTATCCTAAAGTGATGACTTTTTAGCGCATTTTCTCATTTATGGAAAAAATGCACTATTGTGCTCGCCATGTCCGTCCGTCCGTCTGTCTGTCTGTCCGTCTGTCTGTCCGTGACCTCAAGTTTTCGTCGACGAGAAAATGCGCTCTCTGTCACTCAGTGCAGTGAGTTCTGAGTTATATTTTTTAAACACGGTTCGAGCAGAGAGCCGACAAAGTACTTATACAACCTTTTGCAGAGCCTTAAACTGGGTCAGGTTGACCCACAATAGGGAAAAAGTGCCGCGTTACTTGGACAATGAATTCTAATTTCTCTGCATGCATTTTTTGTGACATTCACATTTCTTAAGAAAGTTGCCAGTTCATGCTAAGTTAATTTACAAAAGTAAGACGGATGGTTTAATTTTTTTTATCGATCAATAATCTTGGTCTGTTTTTGATATGTGTAACAATGTTTTATGGCAGCACGTTAGTCAGGTTTTAATACATGTAAGTATAGGTTCGAGTAGCATGTTAGTCACGTTATGATGCATGTTAGTATAGGTTATGGCAGCACGTTAGTCGATCAGGTTATAATGCAAGTAAGTATATGTTCTGGCAGTACGTTAGTCAGATTTTAATATTTCTTAGTATATTTTATGGGATGATCACATTGGCCAGTTAATATAAGATTTCCATACTTGATTCATAATGTTTAACACATCGAGCGGTATCCGCTCTCAAAATATCAATGATCAATTGGCTGCCCCTGCAATTATTTTTAGCTCTTGTAAAGAAAATGTATCCGGCAGGCGGGAATAAAAGATTATTTCATCTATCCCTGCGTTTTACATATAATTAATAACAACAAAATAAATGCTTTATATTTATTTATGCATGTAGTCTCGTGTAGCTTCGAATTATACTAACGGCAATGATGGAAATGTGTACTACCAAAACTACAGTCTTGATGCTATTAACGTATAATCTTGTTAAATCTGCAAGTAATCATTTTTATTGGAGATTTTCTTAGGTTTCTTGTTATTTTCAACTAAGGTTTTCTAGCTTCAAAGTTTCATCTCGAGAAAGACCCTCAAGTTTTCTATCTTCTTCAGGTAGCCAGGCTGTATTAGGGTGCGTATTAGCGGTATATATCAAAATTTTTAGGCCATTCTCGTGCGGATAGTTTTACGTCTATCCTTACGAGCTGTAAATTTTTCCCGCTGTCTTTGAGTCTTGAAAATTTTTTTTGCCGCGTCTTGAGTCTTGGGCGTTACTGGAGTGCCCGATCTCAAACTTAACAAATTCTATCGCCAGAAGGAAAACTTTTTCGAAAAAATATTCCAAAAATTCAAAATTTTTTTCCGCGTTTATGGGAATTCCAAGAATTAAACTCTGTCAGCCGCCAACAATAATGCTAACAGTCCGTTTTTTCTTGTGCAATCTGCTTATCTTGTGCAAAATTGTTATTGTTAAGCTCTAAAATACGTGAACTAGAATGGCTAATACTCTGAATTACGCTGGATCCGGATGATGCCAATAAAAATATCTTGTATTTGGACAAATTTCAAACTACGTGGTTAACTTGTCGAGATCAGGAATGATATTTAAATGAAATTAAAATGGAAAATGACAGAAATAAAGTTAATACATTTTATTTCATGTGTTCTTTATTCATGTAGCATATCTAATAAATTTTCATAGGAGGATAGACAATGTTTGTTTTATCTTGTTTAGTGTGATAATAATCGTTTAAAATAATGAAAACAGTTGAAATCCTTCGCAAAATTTTCCTATATAACGTATCAGAGACAAGTTTCTTACCACTCGAGGTCTAGAAAAGATGTTATGTTTATTTAATTGATGGTTTGCTTTGGCGAGTAAATGTTTTCCTTACAAAAGGTAAATATTTTCGTTTAAATATTTTCATTTGCTACAGTTAAATATTTTCCTGCCAATGGTCTCTATTTTTCTGTATGTTGCTATCTATTGCGTGATGTTTCTATCTATTTTATATCTTCTATTAAACATCAAGTTATCCAACGAGTGCGTAATAAAATAGCAATTGCACGAAGACAAGAAAACCAAAACAAGATGGTCTAGCAGGCAATTACAAAACATTATTTGCAGTTAGAGTAATTATAAGGTAATTAATTTAATTGAATAATATCAATTAACTTAATTAATCGGGAATTTAATTAATTCACCGCTAATTTATTCTCTTAATTTTTTTATTTATTATATTGATTTTTGGGAAGTTTCATCAAATTCTTGGCACCTCAATCCAATTATCATACTTCTTTTGATAGTTTAACATTAACTTATCGAATGTGATTGCTGAAATTGAACTATGAAGAGTGACGTCCGTAGATTTAACTCATGACACTCCTGCTAGAGATTCACAAAGAGATTGGATCCTGTTCCGAATACAAGTGCAATGTTGTTTAGCTTTATTTTCGATTAATGCAGATATTTTGCTTCATATGAGAGATTATTAGGCAATGACTCATTAGAAAATCTTTATTACTTTGACCTACAAACTAACTTAATTTCTAATGTAAAATGGAATGAGGCGTCCTAAAAATTTGTTTTTACACTTATAGAAATGAGTGAGGCTTTTTTCAAATATCGATACACTTTTTAGCGCATTTTCTCATTTATGGAAAAAATGCAATATTGTGCTCGCCATGTCCGTCTGTCCGTCCGTCCGTCCGTCCGTGACCTCAAGTATTCGTCGACGAGAAAATGCGCTCTCTGTCACTCACTGCAGTGAGTACTGAGTTATATTTTTTCTTTTTGTGTGTCATCCTGATTCAGTTTGGCCTGGTATAAGAACGTATCAGCGATACTTGCAAAAAGTTAGTCACTATTTAGGCAATATTCCCCATTTATTTTCCAACCGTACTTTTAATATACCAACTAACTCTTATAATTCTTAACGCCAGACAAAAAAAATGGGACGCACCGGATAATCTCTTCTACTTTTGGCAGCAACAAACGCGCATAATTTCCAGCATTTCAGGCGCAACCTGAGCGCTGTTTTTTACGCCGCTTGGCTGGACGTTGCAGGAAACTCGCGTGGCAAAGAATAATGACTGTCAGTGGCACTCAAAGAAATGAGGGAGTCTTTGTATGCTGACTGCCATATTAATATGTACTGACTGCCATATTAATATGCGCTGACTGCCATATACAAATGCGCCGCCTGCCATATCAGTATGCATCGCCTGCCATTTAATATGCGGTTATGAATTGCGGTCTTGATAGGAATATTTAATGGCATTAGAGCGCGCATCTTCACTCGCATATAAATGAGCAGTTAAATGAGCTTCTTCGTATGGAGTAACATAATATGTGCTTACCATATTTTACGCAGGTTATTCTTGTGGTTATGCATGCTCTTGTTCTGTCAATATAGGATTTTTTCGATTTTAATAAAGATTATTAATTAATAAAGATAATAAGATAAAGATTAATAAAGATAAAGAAAATAATTAATTTTCTTTTTGTTTTAATGGCGTCTAAATCTATTCGGTAGGAATTTTCATCTGACAAATAAATACCATAAGGAATTAAAGAGACGATTGTTGGTTTGTCATTACCTTTAATAACGGGAATATATTAGACAAGTTGGTCACCTAAAAAGTTATGTCTTGATGACTTATTTTATATCTAATATATTAAACGTATTCAAATATTTCAGGTGTAGTTAACAATGCATTGAGATCCAACATTAAACAAAAATTAATATGTGTCTTTTTATAAGCTGTTAATTAATTATTTTTTAATTATAATAAATTTTTTGAATTGCACCAAATTTTTGCATCTGAAAGGTGAGATTTTCAGAAAGTTAAATTCTGCCGAAAGCGTTACAAGTCCTGTTGTTATATTAAATCTGTCTTTCTTAAAGCGTTAAAAATTCATAATACCCCATTGTCATTTTGGGTTAGATTTTTAATAATTAACATAGTTGTAGCGTAAATAAATTATTACATCGATCATAAATAAATAAATATTTAAATAAGTCCTTAAATAATTAAAAAATAAACAACGTTCATGTCTAACAAATAACAGTTTTGTTGCTTAACAATACAAATCTTTAGGATTACTATGGACATAGCTGGGATTCACCTCTTGGGAGGTTCGTCCGTACTTCTCAACAGCTCCTGCAGGGCCGAGATGTAAGTTTGGGCCATCTGTAACGTCTCGAACTTGGAGAGTTTCCGGTCACTGCCAAGACAAGGCACAACTTCCCTGAGTCTTTCAAATGCGTCGTTAAGACCGTGCATCCTGCGTCTTTCTCGTGCATTTGCTTGTACACGACGTGTTTTTACGACTTCTTTTGGCGGCGCTCGGTGTCTTCTCCTTCGAGTGGGCTTTGGACACTGCCGGTGCGTAGGGTTCTTTGAGTGTTGCGGTGCTGGCGGGGTGACGTTGGAGGGTGGGTGAAGAAGTCCACTTGGCAGGGAAGGATGAGAAAAGTTAAGGTCGTTGAGGTCGTGTTCGATAATAGGCACTCCTTTTAAAGGGAAATCTGACTGCATCTCCATACTATATTGGCCTTCAAACGTTTGGTCGAATGTGGGCATATGCTTCTGGGGGGGTTGGCGGTTGAGGTGAGGTATCACATGATGGACAGGAACATCTTCCAACGCTGGAGAATTTATCAGGCCTGAGTTTGTCATTACGGACGTTGTGTTTTCGTTAACGAAACCGCTATAACGGAGACTATGCATCGCAAGTTGATCTTGCTGGCTTAACTGTTGTTGCACAGGAGAAGGACGATGGGGCCCGATTTGTTGTAGTTCTTGTTCGTAGATAGGTATTGGTTGTTGTGGCTCTAACTTTTGATGTTCAAAATCTTGCTGGGAATTTTCTAGAATTTGTGCCTGTGGTTGGCAATGCTGTTGAATGATGTGTTCAGAGAATGGATTGTGCATGTTATGAGCATCATCTACTGGAATATGGTTAGGCTGAGGAGGGTTAGTTTGAGATGGGAGGCTCATGACCTTGTCCAAGTCTAACGTTTCTTCCGCAGGCGGTGTAAGTTCATATAAAGAATGCCTCTCGGACTCAGTAACCCCAAGATTGCTTGTTTTAATAGTTATGTTGTTGTTAAGCTCTACAATTCCAAAGAAAGAAGTATGATGATCTTTATGTATGTGTTTGGGCATTTCAACAGTCCTTTGTTCTTTTTCCGAGTTATTGTAAGCCGAGGACTGTGAAGAGATGAATGAATAATCCAGCTTCTCATGTTGCGAACCGTTATGATGAATTGGTAAACAATCGCTTTCAAATGGATCGCTTAGAGATGTTAACGGAATCGGGTGAGTTGATCCTGACGTGAAAGTAAACGCTGGTGGTAAAAACGAATCCATCCCTTGACTTCGGAGCGGCTGGGTCGCAACATCTCGTGCCTTCTCAACTTGAAGTTTTTCTTCACACATTGTCTCATTTTCAACAAGTTGAATTACGTTTTCCGGCTTAGTTGAATTATCTGGTCTAATATCGATGCCTGAATCAGGATAAGAATGTTCGTGGTTTAGCTCTGTAGGCGTTGGGTATTGAGGATACTCCGAAACAGGGTAGGACTCTCCGATAACTGTCAACTCATAGGCTTCGGGTTCAGTGACGAGGAAGCCATCATTTGTAGGTTTTTCTACTGAACCCCGCTCGGCTGGCTCAGTGGAATCCATGAGACTAATCAACCCACTCGCTGGACCCAGAAAATTGTCATCTTCTGGGAAAAAATATTTATCCATTGTAGCAATCATTACACCTCTGTCAAAAAAGAGAGGGAAATCAATTTGTGTTTTGTTAATGATTTTAAGAAATTCCACACGTGCTCGGCAGTTACCACTGCATGAAGAAAACAAAAATTTTCTTTCGTAATGATGATTTTTTAAAGAATTTAGAGTTCACTGCTAAGCCTTGAAATTATGAACAAACATCGATCAATTTTTTCTCAACTTCTTGACTACAATTCAAGTTGTATCTCTTCGAACAGAACACCAAATAGTGATCTCTTCGTTCGTTTCCGTAACTTTTTGAGTCTCTTCTACAGCAGAAATTTTGCAGACGCTTCTCTGCCGCAGCACCACTACATCCAACAGGTCTTTGTTGGTATCATCACTCAAAGTTGACAGAACAAATTGCGATCGTGATCTGCCCTATTGAAGAAACTCGTCTCGGCTGCGTACCTCGTCACTCCTCAACTCCGTCATCATCATGGCGTAGTTAGACACTTCTTCTACAGAACATAACTACCTTGTTTATTGAGTTTTCTACATGGTTCTCTTTGGAGCTCAGCCACGAGATGAACGCTCGCTCGCGTTCACTTTGCGCTGATTTACGGTGATTGTGGAAGATGATGACAGTCCGATTTTGCCAGTCATCCTACAGTCTGGCTGCCTCTATGTCCTGATGCTGGCGGTGGAAAGCTAATGCAGATAGGCTCGGCTGCTGCTGCTGATTTCGGCTGAGAATAATTTATCATATTATGATTTACTTGATGTTAACAATATTCCATTGATTGATCCATTTGTTGTAGGTATGGTGAGAATAATTTATCATATTATGATTTATTTGATGTTAACAATATTCCATTGATTGATCCATTTGTTGTAGGTATGGTTGGAATGATACTGTAGGGATGGCCACAATAGTACTTGAGATTTTAGTCTGTGTCTTGAGATGCACTGGTACAGCAATTTTAGAAACGGAGACGTTTAACCGGTTTTTGCAATTGCAGTATTGTTGTGTTTGTTAAGAAATAATTATGATTTTTTTTCACTGTTGAGCTTGGATTTGAGTAAATTCGAGGTTAGCTAAATTAAATAAGCAAGGATTTTTTTATCACTTGCAGCTCCGAAATTTAAATGGATGTTTATGTAGCATTCAACATTTTGTTATTGAATTATTTTAAGACTGAGAATTCCTGGCATTTTTTCAGTTACTATCATCTGAAATAGAAGAATAATGTGCATTAGAAACTGAACAAATGTAATTAAACACTATTTTGGATATATTAATAATCAAGAGAAAAAGTTTATAAAATGCACTTATCTCAATAGCATGCATTATGTAAATGTTCCCCTTTTTAACAAGGCTATAATTAGTCTATATTAACAATATAATAATTGACATTAAGAAGATTGATGACCTTGCTACTTAATTCAATCTCGACTTGTATGATTCATTCTTATTATTTTTATTTATTATTTCCTCGACATTCTTTACTCTTAATTAAACATCGACAAGTCACTTGAAAATGAATAGCTAGACATCGACCCCTTGCTACATCGGCAGACTGTTTCATATTTCCTATCATGCAGTGAAAAAAATGACGCAGGTGCAGTTACGTATAATCGATCTGCATCCTTGTTAATGAACTTAATTTTTTATGTTTCCTCTCGACTCCGTTTGTTGTTTTCCGGTTATGCAAACGAGTTTTGGATTCCATCTGCAAAACCTTGCCCGTTCATTTTTTTCCTCTCGCCAAACCAGTTTCGCTGCACTCTGACCTACTGCGACCATTACCAATCTCGGCCGTGTAATATCCTCTCCAAGGCCTCTTTGAAGATGTGAAGAAAGGCGTTAGCTGTTGTTTTAGGGAGCTATTCGAAAGATCGCGCAGTGACAAGTCAATCTCTACCCAATGCAATTTTTCGTGTGCTTTAAATGTTAAACAAAAGGTACATTTTATTTTTTAGTTTAAATGTTTTTCTCGTGGTTCGCGTGCGTGCATGTTGCGGAGGGTATTATGTTATAATGGAATGTTCTTGTTCCGAAATCGTGATAATATGTTGGATTTTCAATAAAAATGTAATCAATAACGAGATATTTTAAAAATGATTTTTTGAGCATTTTAAAAGATTATTAAAATAACAAAATGGAGCTGTGTACTGCTCCTCAAATGTATTAACATAAATTAATTTAACTTCGCATCGGTGAAATTAGGTTAAATATGTCCGAGTTATTCAGTACAATTCAACAGAAACACAGAGTTCATACATGGCTGCTCGAATGCGTGTTTTCTAGGAATGTGTATTCCGGTGCTTGCATTGCTAAACATTACCACATTCCTAGTGGGAATTACCACATTACCACATTCCTAATGGGAATTACCACATTACCACATTCCTAATGGGAATTACCACATTCCTAATGGGAATTCCACAACCTTGTTCCAGTAATGTCACCAGTAAACCCTTGTCTCTTTAATTACTACTATTCGCTAACAAATTAAATCATATTATTGAAATCGATCACGCCTTTCATACGAATTTAGTCAGGCTATCCGCATGTTTCATGGAACGATTTTAATTAAAACCAAATTAAATGTCAACATGAGTTCATAGCTTAGGAAATACACAGTATTTCGTCAATTTATCTTCATCTTTTAAAGCATATTGTTTGGTCTGCGAGAAAGGGAACGATTATGGTCATTCTTGACATTATTATTGATAAAAATACACTGCAGCACATTAAAGATGCTCATTTTTCTTGTCATGTACCGTATATATCAATGAATTATGTTTTTTTAATATATCAATAACGATAATTGATTGTGATTGAGTTCGATTCAACGAACATTTCACGTTTCACCCTCAAAGGTTCTTTAAAAAATACTACATCACATTTTTCAGCACATTTCATTGATAACCACGTTCACAGTTAGTTGTCTTTTTCACTTCTGATGAATCACTGTTTCGAAATAATTTTATCCAAATTCATAACCTTGAATATAGGTCATATTATTCACATTTCACGAAACAAACTACCAGTTTTCTGTCTCTGAAGCACAATTTCCTTCTTTGGAACAACGATTTCCGTGCTCTGAAGCATAATTTCCTTCATTGGAACCACGATTTCCGTGCTCTGAAGCGCAATTTCCTTCCTTGCAACAACGATTTCCGTGCTCTGAAGCGCAATTTCCTTATTTGGAACAACGATTTCAGTGCTCTGAAGCGCAATTTCCTTCCTTGCAACAACGATTTCCGTGCTCTGAAGCACAATTTCCTTCCTTGGAACCACGATTTCCGTGCTCTGAAGCGCAATTTACGTCATTGGAACCACGATTTCCGTGCTCTGAAGCGCAATTTCCTTATTTGGAACAACGATTTCCGTGCTCTGAAGCGCAATTTTCGGCACGTCCGACATGACCGCAGCTACTGAAGTGACAGAGCCTTGACGAATGTAGAGCGTCGAGTGCTAAAAGCTCTCAATCGCGTCGTCTTTGCTTGACTGTAGCTTGCGTCCTAGTCGGCTCCTTGCTTCTCAACGTCTGAAACATCCTGTAGCTTTTACGGCCGCACTCCTGGTCGTTATTGTTAGGTATCGGCCTCGCGCTTGCCGAAATGAGGTAATATTTCACTCACGTTACTTGTAATTTACTTAAAGTATGTTAGTATTGCGTTTTAGTAACTAGAACCTTAGTGATTTAAAGCAAAAATAAGGAAAGCGATTTGCAAAAGCGACGCATGCGCAGCAGGGCAGAGCGTGAAGACGCCATATGGCTCAGCGGCACGGATGGCCGGAGCTAACGGACCACTGTGTCCAAGAAACCATAATTCCGCATTTTTTCCATGGTGCTAGGAATATGAAGGATCAAAGCCGCTACCGGTGCTGAAGAGTCCTGCAATTCCTCACCTCGTCAGCGGGACTGTCTGCATGGGATGAAGGAAAAAAAGGGAAGTGAGAAAATAAATTGTGTTTTACCTTTGAGATCTCAATTCATGTAGATTGGATCTTGAAGCAATTTTCATGTGTTAATGAAAATTTTTTGTTTCATTTTATTTTTAACTGTAATATTCTTCTATTTATACAGTTTCTACTTCATTTTCATGTATGAAAGTGGAAATCTCTCGATAACAAGTTCCATTATTAGACTAGTTATCCGTTTAAATGGATCAATGCTGTCATGCTTTCTATCATCTTAATAGTTTCGATATCATTTTAATAAAAAGCATGATATGCTATTCGCTAACTTGAAGCGTCTTGTTCAATATCATCGTCAATTTCGATGCTTTTTATTTTTTTGCTTATCGATTACAAGTTCATTTATTACGGGTGCATATAAATCGACTACTTGGACAGAATTGAATACTGCAGTTCAATCATAGCATTACAACAATAATCTATAAGTGGTACAAACCGCAGCTTATGTAAGGCATTCATCTCTTTTATTGAGACAAACACAATGAATCAGATAAAACATGTGGCCGAAGCTTGAATAGATTAAAGCGTAGTAGGCCGGACGTTTTTATCTCTAACAATTCTGTGTGATTAGATTCTCTACTGAACTGTACATTCGAACCGAATAATTATTCGAGGACTTACACTCCGTCTCGTATTCTGTTTAACATGAGTAATGGAACGGAAAGGCGAAGATAAACCCTTGAAATTCTACAGTAGAATGATGAAGAAGATTTGTGCAGTTATTTTGCCAATTGCTTGTAAATAAAATTTATAGCCTCGCGCTCGGCTAGTAACTTTGGGTTATTGTCTCCGATTGTTCGTATGTTCATGACTAAATCCATCACCGTAGATTAAGTGCCTCAAATCAACGGAGTGTAACATGGACAATTTTGGTGGAACAGTGCCTCCGTAAGGCGCCTCTGATAAGTCCATCTATCAGTGAATATATATCACTTGTTTGCTTAAATCGCAAATTGACTAAGAATTTAAAAGCAAAGAAAAGTCCACAAAAATTCATATCTTTATAGAAAACGTATTCATATCTTTTCTATAAAGATATGAATTTTTGTGGACTTTTCTTTGCTTTTAAATTCCATCTATCAGATAGTAGAATAACTTGGTTACATGCAGCCTTCAAAACATTAAGGACCATTGGTCATGGAGTGGTTGAGAGAGACGTAAATCAAGTTTCTAT